ATAGGCATCGCCTAGGCATCTCACGAATTTACCTCGTCCTTACAGATCCACTCAGTCAAACACCACACAGACCACTGTTGACTGCTATCCAGTTGAGAAGCATACTTTCTGCTCTCCAACTCAATCCTTTGTCTACACTAACGAGTCCACGGAAGTAAGCTATTTGGTACTGTTGAGTTGGATTTGAATAGATCAATTTAATAATCACACTCCGGTCCTATATACGTGTCTAACAGACACAGAATACATCCATCGCGAGATTCCAGACTCCTGGCGATCCATGTTTGCTGTCCGGTGTGGCATAGTGTTCGGATGTTGAAAGCCCCATCATAAAATCAATGGCGGTGTCTTAGGAGACTACGAATGAAGTTGCAATACCTTTCATCGTTGCCAATGGTCGTAGAGTGAGAGGTTAGGAAAGGTGTAGAAGGCTTAATATTATATTACTATTAGGTGGTGAAGGCGAAGGAGGAGACAGAGGTGAGGAGGATAGGTTATGATTGCTTGCGTCTTGCGTACTATTGGAAGCGTGCAGGCGGTTGACACTTCCCACATGCCCACAACGTGGAAGGCTATTTCTTGCTAAGGTACCTTGTAGAGAGAGTGTTTTATGACCACAGAGCGAATCGGACATTTGCTTGAGGCCTGTCACATATGTTTCTTGCGGGTTGCAGTTTTGAGCTATGGTTGTTGTAACCCCAGACAGAGAAAACCCACACCGTCAACCCCTGAAGACAATGTAGGATAAGGGAATACGCCAGTTTGTGGGCTATTTTTAAATATTCCTTTATATAAGGAAGGTAGCTGCAGCTCATCCAATGGAAAAATCTTACTGCTGCCACACCGCAACCAACCAGGTGTATGTATTCGCTCCCAAATCATTGTTGTGTAGCAATTTACACTACGCTACGTTGTAATATTAAAGCTATTTCACTGACCCCACCTTAATATGTTGGTGATGAATATACTATCCTTCTCTTCCCATTCAAACCAGAGAATCGACCCTGTATGATATCGACCATTAATTTCTAAAAGCCCATTTATCCTTTGTTGTAATTCATATAAGTATGCATGACAAGTGCATGGTCAGATTATTCGAAATGAGTTGCACTGATACATAACACTTTTCGGATACATTAAGTTTTCTGATTGTGTTTTCCAGATTTATAAAGCGGAAAGGTTGTTTCTAAGATGGTTCGACAGTAAAATACTTTAAAATTGAGAGGCTTTTATTCACTTTCACCCTGAAGGCAAGAAATTGAAACGATACAACAAACTAATCGCAGGTCAAGAAAACAAAACAGTATTGAAATAACTAAAAATATTCCTGACCTAAATGTTGAAGATGTACATTTAACGTTTGTGTGGCCAATGAACAATTTACGTGTTTTTGATCTAGTCTGACCGGAACAGAACTTGACCTTCGTAATGTAATGTTTTTCTATATCACTGATAGATACTCGTCGTGCGAAGTGTCACATCCATTGTTTGCAGTGCATCCCGTACTAGTCCTAAATATTATTTCGAGCTAATCTAATCATATAATAAACAGTCACAATTATAAAAGCAACATATTTAAATATACATTCAACCAGAAAAAGGTTTCAAAGTACTAACCATATTTCTATACACATTGCAATAGCGCTTAGAATGAATATTTCAATGAATATCAACTTTTTCTTTATTTCTTTCATGATCAATTAATACAGCTGAATAGCTAGCTCACGGTCTTACCAGATTACAGTTAACATAAGTGCGTACACAATCTACACTTCTAAAAGGATTGCGGTGACTAAACTTGGTCCCAGTTAGCTGCAATGAGAAGATGGAATTCAGCAAAACTTACGCGGACGAATTTCAAATGAACTTAAACATTTTCAATGCATATTCAAGACATTGTTTAGTAATACTGCTTTACAGAACTCTTAGTATCTTCTATTACTGTAATAGAGAGGAGGATGGTGAAGCAGAAGATGAACCAGTGAAAGGATGCACAACGACAAGAGGAACTAAGTACAATGTATAAAACACTACACTGAACAAAGAAGTGAAGAAGAGTGCACGCAAAGACAAAAGACACTTCTACGACACACTTTCAGCTGAAGCAGAACAGGCTGCAGGTAGCAGAGACCTGACAACATTGTATCAAATAACTAGGTTTCTATATGGGAGAGGAAGAGATCAACGCAGATGAAACCAATAAAAGATGATAACGGAAGTTTAATTACCAAAGAAGAGGAACAAAGGAAAAGATGGGCTGACCACTACAAAAAGCTCTTGAATCGACCACCACCACCTGCACTTCGTCTAGAAATACCACCACCTGCAGCCGCTGAACTACAAGTGAACGCAAGCCCTCCAACGAAAGTCGAAGTCCTGAACGTCATAAAGCTACTGAAATGTGGGAAAGCAGCGGGACCAGATGAAATCCCACCAGAACCACTGAGAGCAGACGCAGAGACAACAGCGGACATGCTCACACCACTATTGCAGAAGGTCTGGAAGGAAGGGAAGGTACCTGCCGATTGATGAGAAGAAGGGCTACCTTGTCACACTCCCGAAGAAGGGAGACCTAAGTCTTTGCGAGAACTAGCGAGGAATCACACTCCTGTCCACCCAGAGCAAACAATATTAAGCAGCATCATCTTGGAGAGACTAAAGGATGCACTGGATTCAAAACTACGACCGGAACAGGCTGGCTGGCTTCAGGAAGTACAAATTATGTACAGACCAAATTGCAACGCTTCGCATCATCATAAAACAGAGCATAGAATGGAAGTTAGCTGGATCTCCACCTCAACTTCATCGACTTTGAGAAGGCCTTTCTTTGACAGCGTCGACTGAGAAGTAATTTGTCAGGCAACTGCTTCAACACTACGGAATACCACAAACCTTCATCAATCTCATTCAACAACTATATGAAGACTCCACATGCCAAGTAATTCACAATGGGAAGCTCAGTGATGCTTTTGAAGTGAAGACAGGAGTGAAACAAGGCTGTCGTCTACTATCACCCATGATATTCATGCTTGTAGTAGACTGGATCATGCAACAAACAGTGAGGAGCGATAAGAGGGGAATATGCTGGCTGGACCGATGAAAAGACCCTAGAAGATCTGGATTTCGCCAGTGACTTGTGTCTAATGTCACACAAACTTGAAGATCTACAGGCGAAAACTAAAAAGTTGACAGAAGAGGCAGTGAAGATGGGACTTCAAGTGAACGTACAGAAGACAGATGTGATGAAGATACCCAACCAACAACAACAGCAACAACAAAAAGCTCCAATCACCATAAACGGGAGAAACTTAAAGGAAGTAACCTCTTTCACCTATCTAGGCAGCATCGTCTCAACTACAGGCGGCAGTGGCACAGACGAGGACATCAAAGTCAGGATCGGAAAAGCAAGACAGGCGTTCATTAGCCTGGAACAAGTGTAGAGATCTGCACTCAGCATAAAGTGTGAACAAGATCCGGATTTTTAACACCAACGTCAAGTCAGTGCTTCTGTATAGTTCAGAGACTTGGCGCGTTACGAAAGGGATTTCCAACAAACTACAGACATTCATCACCAGCTGCCCACGCTGGCTCAATACTGAAGATCAGATGGCCAGAATAACAAGAATACGTAACAAGGAACTCTGGGAACGAACCAACCAAGAACTTATTACCCAACAAATATGCAGAAGCAAGTGTAGATGGGTTGGGCATGCACTGAGAAGGACGACTGGAGACATCACGCGCCAAGTCAGGTCGTTGAGTGGAATCCAAAGGGGAAACGACGAGTTAGGCATCCTAGCTGAAGGTGACATGGAGATCATGTGAGGAAGAAATGAAAGCTTGCGGGCAGTCGTGGCGCCAGGTCCAAAATAATGCAGAGAAGAGAGTGCAATGGAGGCATGCTACTGAAACTCTATGTTCCACTAGGAACCCAAAGGAATAATAATAATAATATAATAATTACTGTGATACGTTAATTTACTATCACTTCAGGAGTGATTAAACAGAAAATCAGGATTATTTTGTTTCTTATTCTAAAATACTACGCAGGGATTACACAAGTAAAATACGATGAAGAAAAACAAGATGTCTTAAATCTAACCCAAATTAAAACAAGTTGACCATACAGGAGTTGACTAACACACCGGAAATAGTGAAGTACCTACAACTGTGTAAAACTTACTTTTGTCAATACACATATGGGACAATTGAAATTCTTGTCTCAAAAGCAGGAAGGACGAAAGTAATAACCACTTTTTCCCACATATTAATCATAATGCAACAGCAACTGATTTTCTCAAACAGTGAGACACAGGAAATTAGTATTGCTTTTAACTACAAAAAAACCCTACAATAACTCATATTCACAACTAGACATTATCACAAGTTTTTATTCCATACTTTCTATAGGTAGATAAGGCAAATTCATAAATAAACTTATGCTGAGGTTAAAGTAAAAAGCAAAATAATAATAATAATAACGAGAAATACAATATTGAATATTATAAATAAGGCAATGTAATGTCTCAACATCCATCTACCATTACAATATGAATAGAGATTGGATGAACCCACAAGTTTGTCGACAGTTGTATTAGAAATAAAACAATAAAAGTAAAATAGAGAATGAAAGACATGGACATAATGAGGGTAAGTTAACTAGGGCATGGTCAACAACACCCACCTATCTTGAATATATATTACAAGAATATAGGATATACGCGTCTACGATAAAGACAGAGAGTTAAAATAAAAACAGTTAGCAAAAATGAAATATTTGCTCTTATTTGTAGGTGTAGAAAATATGATAACAAGTGAAACGTATAATCCACAATGATGCACATGCATACAAAAAAAGAGGAGAATACGCACAAAAATCTAGGGAAAGCTTCACAAATAAGTATTAGTAATACTTTCACTACTTTTTTAAATGTTATCCAAATACTTTCTCACTTTCTGATTCTTAACATGATGAAAAAGATTCATCGTTATATATATGTTCAACATTGTATTACTCTACTAGTAGGCGTAGTAGGCGATGCATCCTTCGGCAGTTGTGTACAATGCGAAGATTGCTCTTCATGAGTAACATTAGCCTTTGTGTTACAAGTAATACGATTATGGTCAATGTGATTAACACAAGTAGAAGAACCAGTAAACTGTGTACTGCTACTGCTATTAGACATTTGTGATATCGAATTGCGATCAGAAATAGATGAACTACATTCATCACCTGGATGATAATTTGATTGCTTGTTAATTAGTTGCGACTTCGACATAATTTCATCAGATAAGACTGACTACCCAAGCCAACAACTAGGTCATGACCAACGCCGATACTTTGCAGCAGCACCATAGCAACAG